CTTTGCTTGCAGTTGGACTCGGGTATTTGGAGCAACCTGAAATCTCAGTTTCCAGAGCCACAGATGGCAGTGCCCAGGTGCCTTGTAAGGCATCCTTCAGTACTTTCCGCAGTGCATTCATACATTGGTATCGACAGAAACCCGGCCAAAGCTTAGAGTATCTAATGTATGTCATTTACACTTCCAGTCAGCAATCTTTAGATGGGAAGGACAGGAAATTTGAGGCAAGTAAGAATTTTAGCACTTCCACAGCAACTTTAACGATCAATTTCTTAAAGACAGAAGATGAAGCTACATACTACTGTTCCCATGGCTACCACACAGTGTGAGAGTCCCCAGGGTAACCCACACTAGAACTACCCCCTAGTCTGTTTACCCAACATGCAGAACCACAGAGGCTGCCAGCTGGGCTCCCAGCCTGAGCCCTCAGGCCCCAGCATTCCTGGGGCTTCCCAGGGAGCTTCTCAGCTCTGCTTGTCCAGTGAGTTCCACCAGGGGCAGCAATTAAGGTACAATGAAAGGATGCATGGCCACTATTTGTCTTGCTCCCCACAAATTATAGTATCATCTAGGTATTTATTACTTGACTGCACAGAGATTTGCAGTACCTGAATGTCTTCCAAAGCAGGCAAGAAAGGGTCATATTTCATGTGCACATGTGGCTGACATAATGATCCTTTACTGTTATTTTTCTATTCTTTTTTTGTGCCCATCTTAGGGCTTGAACTCAGGGCTGGGCAATATCTCTGAGATTTTTTTTTATCAGTACTTGTGCTCTGCTACTGAAGCTATAGACCTATTTCCAGCTTTTTATTGGTTAATTGGGGACCAGAGTTTCACAGACTTTTCTGCTTGGGCTGGCTTTGAGCCATGATGCTCCTTGTATCTCAGCTTCCTGTGATTCCAGGTATGAGCCACTGGCACCTCTCTCTATTTTCCCATTTGTCATACAATGATCAATTAATTGTACAAGAGACTTGAATTTTGACATGTCCCTGGAGGCATAAAATTTACCACGATCAGTTTCATTTCCCTAATCTCTCTCCTCATTTCTCCTCCCCTGTCTCAGCCTTCAGTGTTCCGTATTCACATGTATACTTAGAGATTTTGATCACCTTCCCTTGCCTTCTCTTTTTTGAATGACCTTCTCTGTTCCCACTACTACCTACACTCTAAAAATACATGGTTTCATCTTCCTGTCACTCATTTTTAAATTGCATATTAACTATTCACAGGAGCTTCATCAAGGTATGACTTGTATCCATATACAGAATTTAATTGGATTGACATCTCTTTGTCTCCCTTTCCTCAACTCTATCTCTCTCAATCATTCAACAGCTCTCATTGAGTTTGGTTTTGCCATCTTTATTTATAGACACAGTGTATTTTGGTACTGTTTCACCCCCTTACATTTTCTTTTCCTTTTCTACTCCTAAGCCCCTTGTATAGCATCCTGTTTGGGTAGACATATATGTTTATCTTTGAGATCTAGCATGCACATAGGAGGCCTTTTCTCACATCGAGAAAATGTGTAGTAGTCACACTTATTGGTACCCTGGGGCTTTGCTGGAGAAACACAGCGACTATTGTAAGTGCACAATCAACGCTCCAGAAATCATGGGAGCCCAACATGCAAACTCTATGTCTGGAAAAAAAAATGGAAGGGCTCAGGGCTCAGAGCTGGGACAAAGCAAGCCCTGCCCCTAACAAGTCTCTAGAAGAGATCTGAAAAGGAAAAAATCAAAACTTTGGCATCAGCAGATCAGATAGTTAAAAAGACAGATACTACCTGCTTCCTTCATCTATAGAGAAGACACAAGCCAGCAAAGAAAAAAATAATTATCAACTATTCTTGTTTATTTTGAGTTGGCTCGCAGATGGTTAGGTTTTCAAGGAATCATGGGGAAGAATATTAAATGTAAAACAATAACAATTTCCCTCCCAGTTTCTTAAAGTATATTTTATAACTAAGTAAAACTTACACAAAAATGTTTTACAAGTGTCCTGAGCACAGGTAATTTTCAGTAGTTGAGTGGTGCATTGAAGGATTATATGGAATATTGGTATCTATTAGAACATAAATTGTTTAGAATACTACTCTAAATTCTTGACACTAAAAGCTTGGTTTGTGAATTGGTAGCCCCTGTTTCTCAGCTGACATGCAGGATACCTAGCTTCTGCCCAGGATTGTTGAGGTTGGATCTTATTTCACAAGATTCCCAGGTCACTCTGAGAATTAGAGCAGGACGGGCTCATGTGCTGGGCTCCCCAGATGGGCGGATGTTCAGGATGATTAGAATCACATTCTGTTTCCATGAAATAGTTTGTCAACTTTCTCTCCAATTTCTCAGTAGAAATAGTGGTTTGATATTTGGTTTGTCTAAAGTCATAATGCATAACTTCAAAGTTAATTTTACAAATGTTGGATTCCACATCTGTGCATATGCATTTTAAATTCTATTCATGAGATCAATGCAAATTGTCAGCAGGCATTTTATTTCGGAAAGCCTTCTCTTATTAACTTGATTTTTGGTGACATAAGGAAGAGTAATTTTTGTATAAAATATAAAATACATGTCCAACTGGGCACAAGTGGCTCATGCCTGGAATCCTAGCTACTTACAAGGCTGAGACCTGAGAAGTGTGGTTTGAAATCAGCTGGGGCAGGCAAGTCCATGAGATTTTTATCTCCAATTAACCACCCAAAACCTCAAAAGTGGGATTGTGGTTCAAGTGCAGAGCACCGACCTTGAGCACAAAAGTTCAGGAGAAGAACTCAGGCCCTGAGATCAAGCCTCAAGACCAACACACACACACACATACACACACACACACACACACACACACACACACACACACGCCAGAAGTAGAGCTGTGATTCAAGTGGCAGAGCACCAGCCTTAAGTATAAAAGCTAGTGGAGAGTGCTCAAGCCCTAGTACTGGCTCCAAAACCAAACAAACAAAATTCATTTCTTCTTGTAAGTAGGACAATATTGCTCCTGAAAATTAAATTAGTATGGAACAGAGTTGGAGATAGGAGATGTAATTTATTGTCACTCTCACACCTTCCTCAATTCCAAGCTCCATAGGAGGAGCTGCCCACTTCCCTGTCACCAGGTGCTCCTGGAACACAGAGGGTAGGTTGCGCAGCTGTGGCAGAGTTCCCTGGCCTGCACTTTCTAGAGAGTGGAGTGGAATCAACCTGACCTCTCCTCCTCTCTCCCAGACAAGTAGGAATACTGGCCTTTGCCCAGCTCAGAACTAGGCTACAGCGCTAGTAGCTTACTTTCTCCTGCATAGATCTCAGCATCTCCCGGCCTTGTTAGAGAGAATCAAAGGATCATCCATAAAATTGGCTACTGTTCTCAGGGTCCTTTGCCTTGGGGTTTTGCATATGCATATGCTCAGAGTCACAGTGGGTATTGATCCTTGGCCAAAGTGTTCTAAATCACTAACATCTAACTCTTCTCAGCTTCATGATAATCTCTTGACATTGGTGATAGTCTGGTTAATTCTTCTTTCATAGATGAGGAAACAGGTTGAGACATGCTTTGTAGTTGGTGGTGATGAGTTACTGATTCAGGTAGTAAAATTTTGTCATCTTGTGTATGGTTGCTACAGCTAAAAAGAAAAGTAGAATTCTTGTTTTCGTCATGGAATGAAATGACCATCAATATAGAGTAGCAAGGGAAGGTAAACACTTGGGAGCCCCTTGCTTATGAGAAATTCCTGTTACAACTTAGACTTTGTGTTCTAGAACTCTGACAAATATTTTGTAAGGAGATCATGGAAAAATCCACTTAAAAAGTCTCTTGTCATAAAAAAATAGAAAATAGCACAGTGATAAGAGAAATCTGTTGATGAGTTGGAAAGCCAGTTTCCATGGGGGTACTTGGAGGCATTGTGGTAGGCCCCTTTCCTGTCTGCAGACCTGAGATCTGTGTTCAGAATGCTGCTGCCTCTTTCTTCGTCAGACTCCAGTTTTGAATGAGCCCTGAGTTCCGCCTTCTGGCTGGGCCCCTCATGAGCACCATTTGTCAGCCTCTTCCTGGGACAATAGCTGGCAAGATGCAACTCCTGCTAGGGGTGATCTGGGCAGCCTCCGCATGGATCTGTGAGTGCTTTCAGCCAGCTTTCTGCTCACTCATTGAAGGGGGGGGGGTAGAGAGCAGGGACAGTCCTCCCTTTTCTTCAAGAAAGAAAAGGCAAACTTATGTGTAGCACAAAGAGCCATTTTCATGAACTTCAAAATTTGACTGATCTCCAAAATTTCCCATTTCCCCGCTTTTCTCTTTTTCTGTTAGATACAAGTGGAGACCTGGTACCCCATATCACTAAGAAAGCGGGAGCTACGGCATTTCTAGAATGCCAAATGAAGGTGGCCCGGGCCAAGGAGAAAGCGTACATCCATTGGTACCAACAGAAGCCAGGGCAGCCTCTGAGGAGGATCCTGTGCATTTCCTCCAATGACAATGTCATCTATGAGGAAGGCATTAGTGAGGAAAGATACGAAGCAAAGAGATGGCTAAGCGACCTATCCTCCAGTCTCAGGATCCATCACCTGACAGAGGAGGATACAGGCATGTACTTCTGTGCGTGCTGGGATACACTGTAGCAAAACCTTGCACTGTCACTGAGCAAAAACCCTACAAGTGGGTCTCACCTGTGCAGACCACCAGCCCCTCCTGTTACCTCCTCCTGTAGGCTGGCCACTGGCCAGAACAGAGCCCTGTTCTCCTACACCTGTGTCCCAAGCAGGGTCTCAGTGGAAAGCCAAGGGCCCATGTGCAATTCTTCCTTCATTAGGAGCTGCATTGTTTCTCTTATCCCTCTGCTCCTGCAGCTGCCTTTTGTAAATGTCCTGGGTGGTCTCTGCTTCCCCATCCGCAGGAAGTGTCTTAGGACAGAAGCCCATCATCCAGTGTCCATGGTGTTTTGTTGACTGAGTGAGTGAATGAGCAATGAGAAGATAAAGCCTTTTGGATAAGACAGGGCTGGCTTTTTTCTTCCTATTGTCACACTCACCAACAATATGGCTTCAGAAAGTTACTAGAATTTTCTTTCTGAATTTTTCCTGGGCACAGTTTGAGTAGATAGAGTTGCTGAAGTCTCCTTGAAGACCTATCTGAACGTCCCTAGCCTTGTGTTCAAGGCATCTTCTTGTATTTTTTTTGGGGGGGGAGGTCAGTCATTGGGCTTGAACTCTGGGCTTGGGCGCTGTCCCTGCACTCTTCAGCTCAAGACGAGCATTCTACTGCTTGAGTGACAGCGCCACTTCCAGTTTTCTAGTGGTTTATTGGAGATAAAGAGTCTCACGGACTTTCCTGCCTGGGCTGGCTTTGGACCGCAATCCTCAGATCTCAGCCTCCTAAATAGCTAGGATTATAGGCGTGAGCCCCCCGGCGTCCAGCTTCTTCTTGTCTTTTCTGTGAGGACTTAATCATCTCTGAGCCACCTCAGATCAAATGGGATCTTAGCAAATCAGAGAACCCCATCGACCCTGCCCTCCTCTCTCAGTCTGAAACATGAATTATGCCTGGGACAAGAGCAGAGATAATGGAAGGAAAGATATTTTTCCTCTAACACTGCTTTGCTTGTAACAGCAAATAATCTCACTGTGTCTAAAACCACACTGGTTCTTTGAAGTGCACATACTGTGCACTTAAGGCAAATTATGGTAAAACTACTTATAAAATGCACATGGCAGTGTAAAAGAATTTGGAATGACAGTTATTTATATATTTTTACTATATATAGTAATGTTGTCTTTTATTCATCTCACAATAGGTGTGTCTGGTTATAGATCTCATAAAATAAAACTCATGGGGTGAAAAAGACATCCTAGAGTCAATATTTGAATGACAATAGGAAGCCAATAATTCCCAAGAGGATAGTAATTCTGTGGTGTTGCAATAGATTACTTTCAATGAGGTCTTCCAGCATCTGATAGTTCCTTTATATCAGGGACATGATGGAGTGACTTGATGACACATTTTTCTATTCAGGACCTTCCAGTGGCTTAGAAGCCAGCTTTCACGCCTCCTCTTTCCTCTAGAAATCCAAGGCTTCTACTGCCTCTGAGGTCCTTTTTCTAATCCTTGTAGTGACAAATCAACCAGCCACAGGCAACGCTAACCCTGTGGATTTTCCTTTTGTCTTTGGCTTGGGTTGGTAGGTTGATTTTGACTTTTTCTTCCCCTTTCACAATCAGCATACTTAGCATCACTGGATTAATTTCTCAGATTTCTCTTCCTTGCTCTTCAGATGGAGACTCCAACACGAGACTATCTCAGAATCAGCTCTCTTTTACCCAAGGACCAGACAGGACAGCACACTTAAGCTGCAAGCTCTCTGGGGTCCCTCTTCAGATTGTAATTGTGCACTGGTACCAATGGAAAGAAGAGGAACCCCTGAGAAGAGTCCTCTATGGCTCAAGCAAGAATTCCAAGCTAGACAAGCCCAGCTCCTGCCTGGAGAGATTGGAAAGACAGATTTCACCTGATCATTAATAAGGTTGCTATGGCAGATGAAGCTGCCTGTTACTGTGGCTGCTGCAGTCACAGAGTCACAAAGGGCTATAAGAAAAGCTTCCTGTCACAACCTCTTATCCATGGCCAGAGCCAAGCAACTACAGTGGATACTTCTATTCTCTCGCCCATACATTCACGGGTGTTAGAATGAGTGTGGGCTGAGATGGGATCCTTGAGACAGGGTTAGCCCAAAGCTCCCACTTCAAAGGAGGGAAGTGTGATCCAAAGTGGCACAATAGTGACCACACGGGCCTCCATCTGGTGCCTCTTTGGGCTTCTCTGGTGGTCAGTGGTAAACTTTTTTTAAAAAAAAACTACATCCTATTTTCTTTAAAAGGGAGGGATGGCAATGATGCTGTGTCTTCCCAAGTGATGCCCAGAGGACCGGTCAGGTCTGACGTGAGCTGACACATGACTACCGCTCTGTGGGGAAGTGGAAGAAGGCTGACAGCAGATGGGGTCCATGCCTCATCAGCCTTGGACCCTCCATCTCTAAGAAAGAGGGAAATCCGCCATGCTGTTCTCCCACAGTTACTTATTACCTTTCATGTGGGGAGCTTCTTCTCTTGTAAAATCTCAGTACGTAAATTTTTTTCCATGGCACATACACCAACCATGAAGGAATATAGGAGCCTAGCTTCTTCATGAACACAAGTGGCTTTAAGTAAGGAATCTATCTATCTATCTATCTATCTATCTATCTATCTATCTATCTATCTATCTATCTATCTATCTATCTATCTATCTGTGTGTGTGCTGTTCCTGGGGCTTGAACTTAGGGCCTGGGCATTGTCCCTGAGCTTTTTTACTCAAGGTTAGCATTCTACCACTTGAGCCACAGTTTTATTTCTGGCTTTTTTGGTTGTTAATTGGAGATGAGTCTCATGGGCTTTCCTTGCCAGGCTGGCTTCAACCCACAATCCTCACATCTCAGCCTCCTGAGAAACTAGGCTGACAGGTGTGAGTCACTGGTGCTCAGTAGGAATCTATATCCTTATGGGAGATAGAATTCTATAATCTTATTTTCCTAATCCAGAAAATATTTAATAATAGAGTATGCATTTCCCCATTTGATGCCACTCTGATAATGACTCATGATATGACATGATAAATTTGGCCTTACTGAAAAATATAGAGCTTGGTTGAACATTTCTTCAATGTGTTGGCATATTTGCATTTTCAGTGACTGGAGAGCTTCCCCCCTTTAATTGTGAAGAAGGATGTCTTGGTTTTTATGAGAACCAGAGGCATGTTTCTTTGATGCAATCTCTGAGTAGCTTTAACACAATGGAACACCTGGAGATTTAAAACTAAAATTCTCAGAATACTCTTCCTGAACATACTTGACCAGTTGGCCCAGCTCTCTTCTTTCTGGATCTTAACCTTTTTTATTTTCTGTTGTTGTTTTCTAATGAAGGCTACATCATTGGAAAACAATTGAAGTATTCAGTTTATGAAAAAACTTACAGACTCTCAAATATCTTAACTCCTATATTCAAGGACTTGCCAAGGACCACAGAAGTTCAAGTTGCCAAGATAAAATTGTTAAACTGATGATCAGATCCATGGTGAAGTTCAGGAGATGCCTGAGATTTTTGTAAGGGCTGTGAGCAGAGTGTTAAAGAACAGGCTGGATCAAGGTATTTGGAGAAGGGACTAAACTCATAGTAACTTCTGGTAAGTAATTTTTTTTCTACTTTTACACCATTAATGAAAAACGAATAGTTGCTTTTTAGGGGAAAAAACAATTACAACTAAACTTATCTAATTCTGCCATGTTCTTGACCTGAGACTACGAATAGCAATTTTGCAGGTGCTGGTTGTGCAACGGAGAACAAAAGCTACTTTCTGTGTAGTTTTCTTCCCTCCCTCTCAGTAATCAGAGTGAGATTCTACATTTAAAATGCATATATAGAAGAGAGCCTTGGGGTAGAAATGAAAACATTATGTTGATCAGATCTCTAAATTATGGGCATAATTATTTTCAAGATACTATTGTATAGAGGGAGTTATAAATGAAAAACCTCAAAATGGAATTTTATTCATTACCTCTTCTCTGTGCCTTGAGATGTGCCATAGTGCTGCTTTATCCAATCTGAAAAAACTTTTTGATAGAGATGGATTCACTTTCTTAATTTGGGTTTGATTGGGCCTGTCTGTGTTTTATAGCCTGTGGCTACTGTGTGAAGCAGCAGCTCTTTTCCTTGATTATTTTGTGAACTCGTTACAGCTTATAAAAGCCCTTAAGCCAAATCTCTGAAATTCCAAAACATCAGAGCTCTTTACTATTTCTAGGCTTAAGAATTTGGGATGAGTTGAGTGTCAGTAGCTCACGCCTGTAATCTTAGCTACTCAGGAGGCTGAGATCTGAGGATTGGTGTTCAAAGCTAGTCTGGGCAGTAAAATCTGGGCAGTAAAGACTCCAATTAACCACCAAAAAATATAAGCCAGAAATAGAGCTATGGTTCAAGTGGTTGAACCCTAGCCTTGAGCAATAAAGCTCAAGGAAAGTGCCCAGATCCTGAATTCAAGTCCTAAGACTGTCACAAAAAATAATTTGGATGACTAATATTCAATATGCCCTGTATTTGGTAAAAAGAATTTGACAAAATGGTCCAATACCATCACATTAAAAAGAAAAATAATATTGACTAAGCTTTTGCAGGTCAGATATAATGCCAAATAGTTTCCAGTGCATTCTCCCATTACTCATGTCCAACATGATGGAGCTCATATTCCCTTCTCACAGATGACATACGGAAGTTCCCAGCACACCCTTTACTGTCTCGTCACACACAGCCCTAGCAGTCAGGGCAGTCTGGGATCCAATGAAGACTTGTAATTCCAAAGTACCTATTGTGTGACTTATTTGGCATTACCAGAATTAAATCACATTTTCATGTTCTGAATATTTCTTCTTCTTTCTTCAATATGTACTCGTTCTCCAACTAATTAGTAGAGATTTGCAATTTATAGTCTTTTTTGTACATTTTATTGTAAAAATGCTGTACAGAGGGGTTACAGTTACATGAGCAAGATAATAAGTCCATTTCCTACCTCCTCAATGCTTATGCATGCAGCTGTGATACTGAATTTACTCATCTCTCCTATTAAGAAGATCATAGATGCCAGGTTAATAACCATTTATTAACCACTTAAGATAAAACACAGAAGGTTTCTTTAATAGAACAGCAAATCATTATCTTCAATTTTATTCTTATAGTATTTGTATTGTTTTTGAATTTTATTTGCATCATATTTGACAGAAATATTGAAACTGGTAAAATGTTCTATAACAATTAAGTAAAATCTTATAATTCTTAGTTGCATAATTCAGAACTCCCTACAAAATTTACATATAAGATAAACACCTTTAATCCCAAACACTGAAATCCAAAAATAGCTGAGATATCTTGCCTCCTCATTGTCTTATAGACATATGCATCCACTCATTTACATAAAACTTTTCTGGCCTTCATGTGTCTGACTTGGATTCATGATGGGGCTGTTTTAGAAATGCTCACAGGTTAGGATCCTCTAACAACTTCCATGGGACTAAAAATCAATGCTTTGGTTGAATTTCTAAGTCAAAGGGACCATCTCAGAAAAACAAATAGCTTAAGTGATCATACATAACTCATATTCAGAAACAACTCAAGTTTACATCATTAAAAATCGGACCCTCAAAAGAAGTCTCTTCGTAATCTATCTAGATCCTGCTACAGGTACACTTCACAAAATACCTACAATCACATTGAAATACATTTTCAAATGATAACTAACATTATTTCTGTTTAAAAACTAGAGAAATATTAATTCTAAGTTATACTCTAGGCCAAGAAGTGAAAACTGTTGGTGGCACTTAGAAACAAACCCAGTGCCTTACGGTTGCTAGTAAGTGCTCTAACATTGAGCTATATCCCTAGGTCATATAGAAACTATTTGAGGAAAAAGATTCAGAAGACAAAGTTAAACTTTCCAACAAATGTGATGGAAGAGAACAGGCACATCCCAAGCTTCCAGACAGAGATGGCTCAGTTCTTCAATTCTTGGTTACATTCAAACCTAATGTAATCCCTTTGAGCTTTGTTTCAGTTTAACCTAAGTAGAATCTGTTTTTATGTACTTGTATACTATCAGAATAGTGGTATAATTCTAAAACAAAATTTGCTTTTGAGATAGTGAGGAATGGATGGATTACATAATGAAAGCATTTGACCCAGCACAAATCTCATCATTACAGATAAAATTGCTTTTAATTCTGTCAGTTAGTGGCCAGGAAAGGCATGCAACTGAACAAGTGCTGGCTTATAGTTCTCAAAATTCCTCTGGTTTGCTCACTCCTCACAGTAGAATATCCAGAAAGACCAGGCAACGTGGTCTAGGTTTTAGGAGATACAATAATGAGTTTAGAGTGACCATAGATCCTTGGGAAATGTTGTGAAATGTTAACTCTAAAGGTGAAAACATGTAGTGGAATGAATGCATTTTATTAACTGATAAAAGAAGAACATCAACCTTTGAACTCTGATCATTTACCATCATAAACTAGAAAAGCACTTTAATACACCGGTCCTTTAGCAGGATAATAGAGAGTGGTCATTGCCTATAGCATCCAGTTTTAGAAATGGACAAAGTAATTTTTCAACAAATCCATGAATATTACCACTATCTCTGCACACTGGGACTTGTAATGATCATCCACACCTGGGACCTTCAGCAGAGAGGGACAGGCAGATAACACTATGTGACACAACCTGGCTTTGAGGATGAGGTGTCCTGTCATTTCTCCAATCATTGTGCCTGTAAGGGCCAGCCCCGCCAGCCACTGTTGGCTAGACTTCACACGAGCTGACTGATTATTATGAAGCTCAGCTTTCTAGTGTAGGCTGGAAATTCACACGTGCTGTGGTGCTGATGGGGAAAAGAACCAGTATTTCTGCAGCAGAAGTGAGGTGTTTCCAGCCAATGATTCAGTGCTGGCTTGAGCCAGGCTCCCTTGATTGTCTTATTTTACAGATTAGGTGGATGGGAGCTTAATGAAGTTCAGCGTGTGAAAGGCAGACTTCTTGCCTGGCTTAGGGAATTCCAGGCAAATTTAGAGCAAAGTAGAATACACAAGGAAGACATATAGAGACTCGTCCCCTGAAATGATGTGATCTAAACACACTCTATAAATGCTAACTTTCTATGTACAAATGCAGGGCTTCATTGTATGAGATTGTAATGCCATATCCCTGCACACAGCTTTCAGAAGTATATACCTCCTAATAGCAATGATAATGATAAAACAACATTCTGGGAACATTTAGTCAAATTAGTTTTTTTCCCCAGACCTTATCCACTTTGTCTCACTTCCTTGGTTACAGTAATATTGAATTGATTTACATTACCATTGTTTTTGGATAAAAAGAACACAGAAAAAAACTTCAAAGTCATTTGATTTCATTTTGCCACCAAACTTGCTATGAGAAAAATGAGCCAAAGACCAGAACTCTGGTCTCTCAAGAATGCTAGGCCTTCCTGTTCCCAATGGAATTTGAATTCAGGATCACTGACCTAGTATGTTTTTAATATGGATCGAGTCACTGTGGTGATAGTACCAGAAAACCTTCAGTGGAGGAACAAAACTTGTGGTCACAGGTGGGTATCTGAGAAAAATTAAATATCTGAGATGATAGAGAGAAGGCCGTGTGGTCTAATCAATGTAGAAGCAATGTTTAGCAAAAGAGAGCATCAAGGGGGCTGGGAAGGTGGCTCAGTGGTAGAGCGCTTGCCTTGCATACATGAGGCCCTGGGTTCGATTCCTTACCACCACATAAGCAAAAAAGGAAAAAGCCAGAAGTGGTGCTGTGGCTCAAGTGGTAGAGCACTAGCCTTGAGCTGAAGAGCTGAGGGACAGCACCCAGACCCAGAGTTCAGGCCCCATGACTGGACCAAAAAAAAAAGGAGCATGAAGTAAAAGGAGTAGGATTTGATAGAAAAATGCTACAAGAGATTTGAATCCAAGTCCTTGTACCAAAGGTAGTTAAGGAGACTTTTGGGCCACTGTTGCAATAACCTTTGGGTTTGTGTGCTCATAGATCATGTATGGAATGATATCATGGAAATGACTGACCTGGGGATAAACTTTACTATTTGATATAATCCTGTGAAACAGTCAGTAAAAGAGACACCTTCCCTTTTCTCATGGTCATGTCAGGTGTACAAGAACCTGGGCTTTGCAGGTCAGGAAAGCTGGAGTTCTAGATCCTTCCCTTATTGCTTAGTGAATTGGGGAGAAAATTATTTGACCTCAATTTTCTAATCCATAAAGTGGGATAGGAGTATGAACCCAGCAAGATTATAGAAAAATTGAATAAAATAATGTGAATAATGAAAGTTCTTGGGGTCATTATCCAAGCCTTAATAGGTATTCAACAAATAGTCTTCTAATTCAAATGTAAAAAGAATCTTCTCTACTCTGAAGAGGTATTTGGGGCCAATAACATTTCCACCAGCAATGATCTTTCCAGAATGTACAGCTCTCCCTCTAACTGCTCAAATTTAAGGTTATCTTAATGTTAACTCACACCAAAAATTCAATCTGGAACTGTTTTACTTCAGAAAGATTTTCATTCATCATTTACCAAGAAAAATTATACAAAAATGTGTTTAAAAGCTTACTTGTTGTTTTAAATGCTTTGAATTTTAATCTTTAATCTTAACAGATAATATCTCTAATATCAATATTTATCACCTGACAATTTATATTAGATTAGACTTTTGTCTATATTTATCAGGAAGCAACTTTAACCCCACAGGAAAAATCATTAAGGTATAAAACAAATTATAATTTGAAATATCTTAAAACTGGTTATATATTTAAATATGAAATAACTGTAATGTTTATTTGACAAAATGAAAAATAAAAAATAGAGAACACAAATACATTCTCATGTCAATTTGATATACACTTTTAATAGAAAATACATTTGCTATACGATAAATATGTAGAGAATTAATTTCCTACCTCTTAAAATGGATATATCTTTGTTTAATTTATAATGTATTAATTAATTCCAATGACTGTACATAAACAAATTGGACAATATACAGCAAGTTTTCAATTTGTTATTGTAATAAAGAGGATAGCTAACACTATGCTTCATATAAAAAATTGATCATGAGGGGGGGTGGGGGGAAAGGGGGGGAAGGAGAAGGATTGGGATTGGGGGGGAGGAGGGAGGCTGGGAAGGGATGTGAAGGGTAAACAAAGGAGGAGGCTGCAATGCTTGGTAAGAAATGTACGCATTATCCTGCCCATGTAATTGTAAC